TTACTATAGCTTAGCTATATATATACATATATATATATATATTATATACTCCCTATAATTGCTTTTTAGGTTGCATGGTGAGAGACAAAGGCAGCTATCACTCAGTTGCTGAACACAGAAGGAAAGCGTCTAATCAAGGAATAGCACTGAACATAAATCATATAGGCACTTCGATCGTTTGCATGCTCTAGCATGCATGGAATTACATGTTCTTTGTTTTATGTATCATTTATATTGTTTAAAACATGAATACAAATTAGCTTTTGAAACATAGTATTGTTTAACAGAAATATAATATTTTAATGTGTATGATGTATAGCAATTCGTGCATGCAAATTATTGCTTTTAAATTAAGGAATTTTTATTAGCCTATAGATCAGTCCTCAATCAATAGGATTCATAGTTGTAAAAATTGTAATTTTACATAATTATATTATTGCTATTTCATCTGTATGTGTACGTACGTATACATTTTTTGAATAAATTAATATATTTCTATTGTAAATGTAATGCAATGTTTTAGCCCAAAATGTTTCTATAGATATCTCTACAGCAGGTCCTATAGCATCCTATAAATATTCCTATAGAATCCTATACGTATTCCTATTGAAATCTCTACAGGGGGTCCTATAGGATCCTATAGGAGCCTATAAATATTCCTATAAAATCCTATAGACATCTCTACAAAGGATCCTATAGGATCCTATAGAGAATTGGAACATAATTCCTAATAGGATCCTATAACATCCTATATGGTTAATTCCTATAGGATCGTATAGGAATTATGTTCCAATTGTCTATAGGATCCTAATAGAAACTATAAGATTAGCCTATACGATTTCCTATTAGAACATCTAATAGAATCCTATAGATTACTATAGACGGCGTCTTATAGGTAAACCTATAGATTATTTTTGTAAGGGTGTCCACGTACGTCCGTGATTAGTACGTGTGTTTTACTTTATTTCCATGTTTAGTCCGTGGCCGTAGTCACACCGCTGACACATCCGTTTCATCTATAACGGCAGTCCAGCGCGCCGTGCACGCGCGCGTGTATGTGTAGCGGCAGTACAGCCCCGTGCACGCGCACGCGTGTATGTGTAACGGCAGTCCCAGCCCGCGTGGCACGCGCGGCGTGTATGTGTAACGGCAGTCCAGCCCCGTGCACGCGCGCGTGTATGTGTAACGGCAGTCCAGCCCCGTGCACCGCGCGCGCGTGTACCTGTAACGGTAGTCAGGCCACCGTTGCATGGCACGCGCCGTGGGGCCTGAGTCGCACGCTCGCGCACGACATAAATACAAGGCAGCCTGGCGTTTCGAACAGATCTTCGGCTTGCATTTTTAAATAAAAGCGCGCGCGTATAGCGAAATTATTTATAGCAATTGTTTACGATCGCTGAGGTAACGGCCGGTACCCGGAATCTCTAGCCGCTTGCTAGAACGCCATAAAAAAAATGTGCTTTCCATCTGAACCGCGAGCGCCGTAAGACTATTTC